TGAGAATAGGTTAGCATACTCAGATTCGAAGTTATAATGAATTGTAAGATTTTTCAATTATTTGATAATATATCTTACTACTGCTTGTAACGGTATGTATATAGGATAAATATATTTTTAAACCATCGAGAAATAATGATACTTTCGTGTAATATTTTTTCCTTTTATCTTTGTCGGGAGTCCTTTATCGAACTCATGCACTAGTTACATTACTACGTACTGTGCCATTGTACGGTACATAAGGTAATTCTTGTAGGTAAAACAGACTATATCTGTTTCCTAGCAGGAAGATAGGAAAATGACGATAGTTATAGTTCTATGTCGACTTCTTTGTCAAAAGAAATTACATGCTAGCTTCACGTCAATCTTGCCCCTATATGCAAATGCCTTTATATATGCGAGCATTCAGATAATCAGAGAAGATAAAATAACCTAAGAAACAAAGACCTCGTTAAAAATTCAAACGATTTTTAAATAAGATGGAATAATTTCTTCCATTTTGTTCTATTTATCGACGGAAACGAGATAATATGCAACGAAGAAGAAAGAGCAACGTCACAAGGGCGAAATTATTTTCGAAGAAATTTAAGTAACGTAAATATCGAACTTTAACCGACGCAACTACGTAGCTGTTTCTTTACTTCGCCACGCTGAGAGTAAATACAAGCCTAGTGTAATGTGATACGTCATATGATATCTTCCCGTGAAAATCTTCCAATATTATTGAAACTGAAGTTGAACTTCAGATCTTTGAAAGTATACCGACAAAAGCAAATTGAATAATATATTAGATAGCTTCCTTCGAACTATGTAACATTCGTCTAAACCAATTTTAACTAAAATCGTTACAACCTCACAAACCGTAAACATAACCTAATCTGACATACATAAATGTCATCACTGTTTATAAATACATAAAAACACTCACAGAAATGTCGTGTCTAGCTCATTACATCTCAATGTAATAGATTCACCTGTGAAAGAATAACGTTCTGATGTTTAGACTGCGTTCTTCCGAAGGCAGAAAATTCTAATGAATTTACATGGATCATCCGGCAATCCCGATACAGAGACGGTCATCGTACGGATTCCCTCAGCTCCCCTCCCCGCCCCACGCGACCTTCCACTCCCGTGCACTCCCTCGAACCCGTTTCGATAACGCATGTGTGTCTCTTCTTTTTTTTCTCTGGTCCACAAAATGCAGTCCCGGGTCCACGGCTTTAATCCGGTGTGTGTGTTGGACGAAGGTGAACGCACTTATTAAGAAGTCGCCATCACGACCAAGGCAGCTATTTGACCTCTCGCTTCTTTAAAAAGAGAGAGAAGGAGTGCGCGCCCCTCACGACCGTTATCCAAACTTCTTTCGCGCGTGTGGCAACGCCTTCGTGTGCGTTCTTATGTTAGTACGTCTGGTTTAAATCTTCCACGCGGTTGGACCGCGGTCGTTCTCGTGGTCTCGGATATTTTACGGTTATTTTGTTTGCCTTTCTTTTTATTCGCTGAGTGGTTTCTTTTTGGGTGTTGTGTCGAGGTAACTGGTTTCGAGATTTCGGTGACAAGTAGATACGTACTTATTGTTGGAGTTTAACTGGGGAGTTAGAATGTTTTGTCGATCGTGTTGGCTTTTTCTGTATGGTTTTAGTTGTGGTCCTATTACGAGGGATTATCCGTGGAGAAATCTTGCGCGTGTTGGTTGTTCTGTAATGTATTCTCTGTGTGTATATATGTGAATGTTAGGTTAGAATTTTTAGAGATTGTATGGAGATTTTTACACTGAGGTTATTCA